CGGAAGCTGGAGCCAGACTGTGGTGTGGCTTCTCCTGGGGCTGCGGCCCCCTGCCCTTTCTTCCCCCTTCCCCTTTCTTTTGCCTCTCAAGAGCCCCCTGCCTCCTCCCCCAGCTCCCCACACGTCACTGCCCCACCACCAGCACCTCACTCTTTGCAAACCCTGGGTGCTGGCAGCAGCTTCCCTCTGCCCCGAGGGGATGAGGGGATTCACAACAGCTTGCACAGCAGTGCTTCATGGAGGGGAACATTCCACCTTCTCCCCAAGGGGGGGGCCTTATCTGGGAGAGTCTCTTGGGGAGCAGTGCCACTGGTGGGTGCCACAGTGGCACAAATCTGAACAAGTGCACATGACCTCATTGTTGGCGCACAAGACAAAACTCATTCCGCTCATGAAAGGAAAATCTTAGTCAGCGGCCCCTGACCCAAAATAGGTTCCCCATCTAGGGTAGCCAGGTGTCCAATTTTGAACCAGACAGTCCAGCATTTGAGCTTTCTGTTCGGGAAACAAATTGAGAAAATATAATTGAGAAAATATAAATGTCCGGTATTTCCTAAATAAGATGTAATGTAGATTGTGATGTAATGTCAAGTGTGTCCAGTATTTTTGTTGAAATCATCTGGCAACCCTATCCCCATCCCTAGCTTCAAGAGTGAAGGAGGCCTGACGTTTATTCTGCCAGCTCATCAAACATCCTCACATTTGCCACTCCTAACTAGTTTAATAATCATTGAAAGGGCTGGGTAGAAAAGAAGAAATGCAAATACAGGCAGTCCCCGACTTACGCGGATCCGACTTACGTCGGATCCGCACTTACGAACGGGGCTTTCTCGCCCTGGAAGTCGGGGCGAGAAAGCCCCGTTGGTAAGCTGCTCCGGTGCCCCTGGTCTGCTGGAGACCGTCTCCAGCAGACCAGGGGCACCGGGCGGGTTCCCGCGCTTCTGAGGCTTTGCCAGCAGACCACAGGCACCCAGATTGAAGCGGCAGCAGCGGCGGTTCCCCGCGCCTCTGAGGCTTTGCTTGTGTGACTTCTTGCTGGCCAGAGTGGCAGCTGAAGTGTTTGTTGTGATAGAGGATGGACCCCAGACTTGGGCTGTAAGTAGCCTTATTTCTAAGCAATTCACCCTGATTTGGCCCTCTCAGTGGTGCTCCCAGACCCGGTTATATTACACATGTTCAGTGTAGGAAAGCATCCGAATGTTTTTGCACCAAACACCTCAGAAAGAAGTATTAGGCCAAACACCGGCAAAGGCTTTCTTAACACACTGACATTGACTTCAGTAGGATGCCTGATAGTACATCAGATTAAGCTAACAAATAAATCTTTGAAGGCTTTGGGTTTCGAGCTTCATATTCATCTTAGTGCATACACGTTTTAATTCAAAATGGGGGTCCTCGAGGGGGTTGATCCTGCAGCACTGCTCCTCGGTGCTACTAGACCAACCCTGCAGCACCCCAGTTGCTCTGCCCCAGGCGTCCCCAAGTCACCCGCTGCTGAAACTGACCAGCGCTGACTACAGAAAGCCCCAGGCAGAGTTGCTCTGCCCCGGGCTTCCTGGAATCAGCTGCTGATCAGTTTCAGCAGCAGCTGACTTGGGGACGCCTGGGGTTCTTAAGTTGATTCTGTATGTAAGTCAGAACTGGCGGTCAGTTTCAGCAGTGTCTGAATCTGGACGCCAGTTCCGACTTACATACAGATTCAACTTAAGAACAAACCTACAGTCCCTATCTTGTACGTAACCCGGGGACTGCCTGTAGTCACAGTTTTTGACTACTCCATTCTGTTTCAGATGAATTGGGTTACTAAAGGAGACAAACCAGTTTGCTTTACCCTTTTACTGCACATCTTTCCATCATTCCAAGTGTAGGAGGAGCCACTGGAATATTCACTGCAAGCACTCGATAGAGAGAGTTCACTGCTACTGCAGCTGCTCCGGGGATATAGACGACTGGGCCCTGTCATATTTAACTGACTCTGGCATTTCAAGGCAGGTATGCTGGATTTCACATTCTGCTGGCATTCCTAAAACACAAGAAGAAATGCAACAATCTTATGGGTAAAAACAGATGATTTTCTCTTCTACCTGACTGATTTAGTTAATAGGGCAAAATGCAAGTGTGCCGTTTACACTTGCATAATATTCCATCACGTTCTGGCAAAATTAATGAATAGATGTAAAATGTGATTAGTTTTATTAACAGAAAAAAATCACAGTTCCTGCAATTCTTTGTATATATTTACTGTGGCTTCTGTATTCTGTGGGTCTATGTGCACCACTTTTTTGAGTCTGTGTGAATTATACTGCAGATATTAGCACCATGCTCCAGTAAGATATCGCAAACTAAGTTATAAAAGTACAAGTACATCTTGACAACTGCATTATAGGCTCACAATGTAACAGATGAGGCTCTGCAAACTGGACAAGGTAAATTAATTTAGTGTCCCAAACAGAATGTCCACTGAGAATGGAATCTCTCAATTACAGTCTAATTCTGGTTTCCTATCTAGTCCAAAGCTTTGTCTAAGAAACTCTCTGATGTAGGACAATCCATCTTTGTGTCACTCTCAGACAGCTGAAGCCTCCTGCTTATGCAATTTATTGACACTTTATGGCTGCTTTTAGTACTTGGGTAGTTATCGCCCCTCTCCAAATGCAATTTCAGTTGACTGTGACTAAATGCCAGCTTTGAGGAAGAAAGTAATGAAGAGCAGATAGCACGTTAGGTAAAATATTAAACCTTTTTAGAAGTATCTAGGATGCTTTTAATTTGTATTCAAACTAGTATTTTTGTGCCAAACAATGCTAGACTTTTTAAAACTTTAAGCCCCTGCACTGTTATACTGTTATGATGATACCCTCTAACGCCATATAGAATCAGAAACTTTTAATTACCAGGGAGACCAAAGAGTAACACTACTACATTTTTTTCCCAGAAAGTTGGCTTAGAAATTCATTAAAACTAGAAAATCATCTCTTAGCCAAGCCTTATGCGATATTTATTGATTTCCATTCTTGTTTACAGCCTGATGTAGTTATGCTTAGATGGGTGTTTTCACATACATATCCCAATAGAATACAAACAAATCTAAGATTATATAATACATGAGCAGCTGGCAAAACTGTCAAATAGATTCAATGGATGTAAAAATGCCTCCTGGAAATCTATGGAAAATATTCCATCTAGAGAACATTCTCCATATACTCTGTTCCAGGCTGGATTGCTTTCTGTGTGTGTGTTTTCCCTGCATTTATTACTACGAACGCCATTTGGCTGAGAACAGGACTTTTATTGCTGAGGAGTTACCTATTGCTGCTCGTTCCTCAAATGACATCATAATGCTCTGCCCATGACAAAGCTAACTACAGGGCAAATAACCATTCCTTATCATGGACAAAACCCATGTCTGGGAAAAATCAGGCAATGGTAGCAGGAGCAAGTTAACTTCAGGGAGTTGTTGACACAAGTTCTCCTAAGCAGTGAAATGGGTGCAGGAGGACTGGCCTTCAAATCTGCTAGAGAACCAGGTGATACACCCAAGACAAGTTTCTGCATTTCTGCAATAGAGTCTTTTGGCTTTGTTAATACATCTCTTTTCACCAGCGGCATCATTCACGGCTATCACTAGTGCCCCCTCCCACATATCCTACCTTGCAAGGTAGAAGGCCAACAGTATCAGTAACTTCTGCTTATTATAACATTTCAGCTGTGGTGCTAAGAAACCTACAATGTTTGGTGCACTCTGGGCTGGCACCTAGCCAACAGGTCAGACATGTCCAAAGTGCATAGTGCATGGAAGGGCTTCTGTAGATTCTGGGGAAGAGGAGTACATGGCATGCTGCAGCGCTCTCACCCCCCTTCTCCCACCTTCTGCAGCTTTGAGAGCCTTCCCATTCCCACCCTTTTCCCCCTTTGCGCCTTTAAGAGGAGAGGGACATCAGGTCCTATGACTTCAGAATAAGAGGCAGATGGACATCTAAGCACAAATATTTTCATGTAAATACCACTAACATTTATGGCAAGTAAGAAAAGATGGAAAATATGGTACATCTCATTAAAATTCTCTGTAAATAAAATGTTCTCCAAGCTTTCTAAATTACATCAGTAGTTCCTTTAAAAGGTGGTTGGGGTTTGGTCTATCTAATTTTTTTTAAAATTTCTGTTTAAAAATTAATTACTTTTAGTTAACTTGCACACTGGCTTATTGATTTGCATTGCAAAATCTGACTTTCCCTCCCAATCATGACTTCTAAACCACCACCTTTAGAGTACAAAAGGAGTCTGTATGAGCAATTTAAACATGTAATTGTTGTTCAAAAGGAAAGACAACTGAATGAATCAAACAATTGCAGAGATAAAACTACTACTTAGAAAAATCTAACCTGAAGGCTAAATTACAGAAAGTACAGAGGGTCATTAACATCTTTGTGAACCTCTGAAACAATGGCTTTCCAGTAAAATACGTATTATTATAAAGCAGATTACATTGTTGATGACACTTTTATACTTTAAGACAAAAGGCACAGAAAGGCTCGATTTTCTGTTCTCATCCCCTTTATTTCTCTCTGTATCTTTATGTGACTTTTGTTTTTAAAGTTACTTTTCTCTCCATTAATGAAACATGAAAGCCCCACTGGTTAAAGTTTTGCCAAATAAGCACAAAGCTAACCCCATTTTTAAAAAAATGCAGAGACCATGAATTTTTAAAAGTTCATACATAATATATCATAAAAGTAGGATGAATAATATGGTGCATGGGCTTTAATAAAAAGCTCCTTGACCATTTCTCAGAGATTTTGAGATGTAATCAATACCCAAAAAGGTATCTTGGGGACATTGTCAAGATTTATGCTTTTTTTGCACAGAGTGGCACTTTCTGTGTACTATATCAACCAGGGACATGATATTGAATTTCAGAGAACAGAAGAAAGGAAAGTATTGTTATCTGTCTCAACAATGGCTCACCCATGACATCGCACTTCATAGACAGAAATGAGTGCTCCAAATGAGGCACTCAAAGAGAGCACAAAGACTCACATGAATCTGAACACCAGTAGTTCGTGACTGTATCAAACTTCTGTTCCTTTCTACATCTGAAAGCAAATCCCCAGACGAGAGATCTAAGATGCGTGAATGCAGTTTCTGGCAGAAGAGAATGACCAAAGCATAAACATTTGACAAATATGTAACAGATCAGCATTTTAAAAATTCCAAACAGTGCAGTTAAATTTCAAAGGAGAATAAAACCCTGTGGTAAAAGAACACTTGTCCTCATTTTCCATTTTATGCTTACTAAGTCCAGGATGTGAAATACAAAGATTTTTGATCCAAAGAAAACTGAACTTTTTCTCCCTATGCCTGTTTCAGAACTTATCATGATTTCACATGCAACAATGTCAAATTAATAGGACCACACTCATATTTATCCAGAGGGTGTAGCAAGTTTGAATTTTAAAATTATAAAAATTTATGATGAAATTAACATTTATAAAGCTATCAACATGGTAACGTGGTTTTATTTAGCAGTTGCTACAGCCCGAGTGAATGATTACAAAAGTGACCCTATTTCTAAACGGCATTGATCTTGTGAAGCCTTGACTTGCACACATTTTAACTCAAAGTCATTAATGTCATCTGTTAGGAACAATTAATATGAATAGAAAATAATTGCATCAGGGAGCAAGGGACTCTGAGGATTTTGTGCATTAACATTCACATGCTGTTCAATTGCACAAGAAGGCCTTTATTTCAGCTTTGCTTGGAAGGACTGCTAACCTGATGCCATTTCCCCTATATTAGTCGGTATACTAATTACCAAAGCTTTCTGTATACAGTAAGTCTGACCTGTGTTAATTGCAAATGTATGATTTATCTGAATGTTGTTTCTTGACCAATGACTTCAAAAGGAAAAAAAAATCCAGCAAAATCTGCTGTCCAGTTGGTCATGTGAGCCAACTTTTTTTTGATTATAGACACTTGGGATCTGATCCACAGTCCACTGAAATATACGAAAAGGCTCCTACAGACTTCAGTGAGTTTTGGGTTAGGCCCTCTGGTCAGACCCTGCCCACCTTCCCTGTAACCAGAGAAGAATCAAGACATCAGAAGCACTACATTCACGTGACACATGGGTGTGGGTTTTGGGAAGAGATGAAGGGGAAGGAGGACAGGTTGCAGAAAACATGCAGAGGAAATCTGGCACTCTGGGTTACACTGTGCAGGACATACCCTAGGGAATTTGGGGAGAAGGCAACGCAGTAACCCCAGAAACTGTTTATCCTGGGTCCACCATTGTTAGTATGAGGGGAAGTAGCAGCTTGTGACAGCAAATCCTACCCACATCCATCTAGAGCAGTGGTTCTCAAACTTGTTGGGGTCCAGAGCCATTTACATGCGTAAAAATTTATGCGGAGCCCCAGAGGTCCACTGATTGTATGTGTTGTACCTATTGATGTTTCCAGTTTGTCAACCTGGCAGAGCCCCTGGAGATGTCTCGCCTTTTGTCTTAACTGATCGCGGAGCACAGTTTTTAGAAACACTGATCTGGAGTAGTGGCAGTGCAACTTTACCCAGGCTTCTGCAAGCTGAGCCTGAGGGTTCAGCTCATACCGCATAGTGTGCTCAGACTGCTTCTCAGGCACTCTCTTGCACAATTTCTTCCTCTAGAGAATGAACCACCTAGAAATACACATCCCTGCTTAAGGCCTTTGCTGCTTCATCCAGTATTGCAAAGTGACTTTTCTTCCAGGCAGTTCAGTACTTTTAACCACTAATTATTAATTTGGGAATAATTTTGCAAAAGTTACATATTCATTTGGCTTTCCTTCAATGTTTTGTTTCAGCTGGTACTATCTAGTTTCAGGAAGGTTTTGGGAAACTTTGAATTATAAATGGGTTGCATAATCATATTTCTTCAAACATAACATTGAATAGTTGCCACAAACACTTTGCATTCAGTATATTTTTCATTACAAATATTTGCCACACACAGGGTATATATATTTTAACATGGTTTCACTCATATCTATTCTCCATTTATTGAATGTGAGCCACTGAATATATTGTTATTGGAATTATAGGCTGATGTTTTTCAAAAGTGTAAATATTGCTAATTACACCTTCCCAAGCTCACAGGTTTAATATGAATTCAGAGTTAGGAATACAAGCAGAGAGAGGGTAAGTTTAGAAGATAGGATACACAAAGAACAAGTTAAAAATCACTTAGGAAAGTTAGATGTCAGCAAGTCACCAGGTCCTGATGAAATGCATCCCAGGATACTCAAGGAGCTGATAGAGGAGGTATCTGAGCCTTTAGCTATGATCTTTGAAAAATCATGGCAGACAGGGGAGATTCCAGAAGACTGGAAAAGGGCAAATATTGTGCCCATCTATAAAAAGGGGAATAAGAACAACCCAGGAAATTATAGACCGGTCAGTTTAACGTCTGTCCCAGGGAAGATAATGGAGCAGGTAATTAAGGAAATCATATGCAAACACTTGGAAGGTAATAAAGTGATAGGGAATAGCCAGCATGGGTTTGTGAAGAACAAGTCATGCCAAACTAATCTGATAGCTTTCTTTGATAAGATAACGAGCCTTGTGGATAAGGGAGAAGCGGTGGATGTCATATACCTAGACTTTAGTAAGGCATTTGATACGGTCTCGCATGATATTCTTATTGATAAACTAGGCAAATATAACTTAGATAGGGCCACGATAAGGTGGGTGCATAATTGGCTGGATAACCGTAGTCAGAGAGTTGTTGTTAACGGTTCTAAATCCTGCTGGAAAGGGATAACAAGTGGAGTTCCTCAAGGGTCTGTTTTGGGACCCGTACTGTTCAATATCTTCATCAATGATGTAGATATTGGGATAGAGAGTACTCTTATTAAGTTTGCAGATGATACCAAACTGGGTGGGGTTGCAACTTCTTTGGAGGATAGGGACATAATTCAAAATGACCTTAGCAAGTTAGAGAAATGGTCGGAGGTAAACAGGATGAGGTTTAATAAGGAGAAATGCAGAGTGCTCCACTTAGGAAGGAACAATCAGTTCCATACATACAAGATGGGAAGCGACTGTCTAGGAAGGAGCATGGCGGAAAGGGATCTAGGGGTCATAGTGGACCACAAGTTGAATATGAGTCAACAGTGTGATGCTGTTGCCAAAAAAGCAAATATGATTCTAGGTTGTATCAACAGGTGTGTTGTAAGCAAAACTCGTGAAGTCATTCTGCCGCTCTATTCTGCACTAGTTAGGCCTCAGCTGGAGTACTGTGTCCAGTTCTGGGCGCCACATTTCAAGAAAGATGTGGAGAAATTGGAAAGGGTACAGAGAAGAGTGACAAGAATGATTAAAGGTCTAGAGAAGCCTATGAAGCCAGGCTTCATGAACTGGGCTTGTTTAGTTTGGAAAAAAGAAGATTAAGGGGGGACATGATAGTGGTTTTCAAATATCTAAAAGGGTGTCACAAGGAGGAAGGAGAAAATTTGTTCCTCTTGGTTTCTGAGGACAGGACATGGAGTAATGGGCTTAAAGTGCAGCAGGGGAGGTTTAGATTGGACATTAGGAAAACATTCCTAACTGTCAGGGTGGTCAAATATTGGAATAAATTGCCAAGGGAGGTGGTGGAATCTCCCTCTCTGGAGATATTTAAGAACAGGTTAGATAGACATCTGTCAGGGATGGTGTAGACGGAGCTTGGTCCTGCCTTGAGGGCGGGGGGCTGGACTCGATGACCTCTCGAGGTCCCTTCCAGGCCTATGATTCTATGATTCTATGAAAGCCACTGGAAAATTCAAATTGATTCAGACTTAGGAGTCTTTGATGCTATACCCAGGTATTGGCAGGACCCTTTAAAAAGGGATGTCTTTCTTTCAAAGAGACCAACCGCCTCCGCTTTCCTAGCAGAAGATTTTTAGTGCAAGTTTCTGTAATTTAAGCTATGCATTAGAGAGGAAAATGGGGATGTGTGAGGTGAACAGACACTAACGTTTATTTCCCAAGAAAACATTCTGGAAATGTTATTTCTGGAGTCTTAGAGCTTAAAGACTTGCTTCAGGGTTTGATAGTCCCTAAAAATGTTTTGAAAATAAATATTTGATTTTATAGGAGTTAGCAATACACATGGCACTAAATAATGAACTGAACAATGCAAATGGTTGTAAGAATAAAAATAATAGGAGAAAGAAATAATAGAAAGTAATTTAACAATCATACGAGAGTACAAAATATATCAGAAGAACAGAAAAGGTCATGCTGGTAGGGGAGTGGCACTATACGTGAAAGAAAACATAAAATCATATGAAGTAAAAATCTTAAATGAACCAAAATGTACCATAGAATCTCTATGGGTAGTAATTACATGCTCTAATAAGAATATAGCAGTAGGACTATATTATTGAACACCTGACCAAGATATTGATAGTGACTATGAAATTCTAAGGGAGATTAGAGGCTATCAGAATAAAAAACTCAATAATAGTGGGGGATTTCAACTATCCCCATATTGAATGGGTACATTCAGTGATTTTTTTGTTAAAAAAAAAAGTGCTGGTACTCCAGGGAAAAAGTTATTGAGCCCCTCTCCCCCCGCCCCCCCAAAAAAAAGCCAGGGTAGGGCCGGCATTGCCCTTTTAAGAGATGCGGCCCCTTTAAGACACATGGCCCTGCCGACTGTCAGACATTTGCATATGGAAGTGCCGGTAGGCCCTATTCTTTCCAGGTAAGCTCTGACTGGAGGTGCCGGTACTGCGTACCAGCCAGTACCAACACAAAAAAAGCACTGGGTACATGTCATGGATACAGGGATAAAATTTCTTGATATCTTAAATGACAGCTTCTTGGAGCAGCTGGTTCTGGATCCCACAAGGAAAAAGGCAATTCTTGATTTAGCCCTAAGTAGAGTATAGGATTTGGTCCAAGAGGACCGCTTGGAAATAATGACTGAAATATAATAAAAATTAACATTCCTGTGGTGGGAAAAGCACCTCAGCAGCCCAACCCTGTGGCATTTAATTTCAGAAAGGGGAACTACACAAAAATGAGGAAGTTAGTTAAACAGAAATTAAAAGGTACAGCGAAAAAAGTAAAATTCCTCCAAGCTTCATGGAAACTTTTCAAAGACACCATAATAGAAGCCC